GAAAAGAGGGTTAAGGGAGAGAAACTAATTTATAAGGTTCATGATTGTTGAAAGCTCTCTCTACATCATGATGAATTCCGCTCAAGTTAAGTAATTTATTCGCTTTATTTATGTGATTATTATTTTATTCAAGATCTTGAATGGACATGAATAATTTATGTCTTGATCATTGCATGGAATGATTTATGTTTTGATCTTTAAGCAAGAAAGTTTTTTTACAATCGGAGCTTGGTTCTAGAGTTTTCAAATAATTTTTTTAGAGATTACTTCGATCTTGGCAAATTGTCTTGTTGTTATCCGTTGTTTACAATGTTGTCTTGGGATTTTTTTTTTGGGAGAAATTCTTCAATTTCAACATAGTAGGCAACAACTCAAATTCTGAATTTTGTGTTAAGTTTAACGAGAAGAATTATTTGACATGGGAATTTCAATTCCAATTGTATGTCACTCGGAAATGAGCTTTGGAGGCATATAGATGGATCTGTTCCAGCCCTAACGGATGCCACTCTATTGGCTAAATGGAAGGTCATCGATGCTAGGGTGATGTCTTGGATTACCGGATCATGTGATCCTCAAATTGTTCTCAATTTACACCTATATAGGATCTGCTAAAATTATGTGGGAATATCTAAACAAGGTGTACAATCGGATGACCTCGACTCGAAGATTTCACTTGGAATGCGAGATTGCGAATTACGACCAAAGAAGTCTTTCTATTCAAGATTATTTTTTTGGTTTTCAAAATCTATGGGCTGAATTTTCCGATATTATTTGTACTATAGTCTCCAAAAGCTCTCTTTATGATATATTGGTCGTTCATGAGATTAGGAAGCGTGATCAATTTTTGATGAAATTGTGATCAAATTTTGAAACTCGCTCGTTCTAATTTGATGAACCATCGTCCTCCTCCTACCTTGGATGACTCGTTTTGGAGAATTGATTCGTGAGGAGCGATGACTTCTTACACAAGCTACTCTTGAACAAGATAAGTTCATTACATCACCTATGGCATTTTTGGCTCATGGAAAAGGCAAGGGCAGAGATATGAGTAAGGTACGAGTGCTTTAGTTGCAAGAATTATTGTCATATTGCCTCAAATTGTAATAAAAAATTTTACAACTATTGCAAAAAGTCTAACCACATCATCAAAGATTGTGTAATTCGCCCTCAAAATCCCCGACATGTCGCTTTACAAGCCACCATTAGCACTCCGATTGTTTAAAGTATAGCCGAGGTCACACCTACCTCAACAAACAATGCCGCCCTGCCAGCTCTTACTCCCGAAATGGTGCAACAAATGATTATTTCTATTTTTTCAGCTTTGGGGCTTCAAGGTAATGGTACTCTTTCATCTAAAACATGGCTTATTGATTCTCATACATCAAATCATATGACTAATTCAGCAAAATTGCTGAAAAATATCCGTCCATATCTTGGATCGGAACATATTCAGAGTTGCTTAATGGAAACACTTTACCCGTTATTCGTCATTGGTGATATTACTCCAGTTATGAATAATGCTTTTATATCACCTGGACTCTCTAATAATCTTCTTTCTCGTTGGACAACTAGTGAAAAATAATTGTGATGTGCACTTTTCTCGTGATGGTTGTTGTGTGCGGGATCGAGTGTCGGGAAAAGTGATTGTGAAGGGGCCTAAAGTTGGACGTTTGTTTCCATTACATCTTTATATTCCTAGTAATGTTATTTTGGCTTGTTCTTTTATGATCAATAAGAGTGAAATGTGGCATAAATATTTAGGACATCCTAATTATGTTATTTTATCCCATTTGTTGAACTCTAAGTTATCGGGAGATATTGATGAACTCAAACCTTCTTATCTGTCTTTTGATTGTTCATCTTGTAAATTGGGAAAAAGCAAAATACTTCCTTTTCCTATTCGTTGGTAGTCGTGCAAAAAAATGCTTTGATATGATTCATAGTGATGTTTGGGGAATATCACCTATTATTTCTCATGCACATTATAAGTATTTTGTGACATTTATTGATGACTATAGTCGATTTACTTGGATTTATTTCCTTCGTTCTAAATCTAATGTTTTCTCGCTTTCAAGACCTTTCTTACATATGTTGAAACTCAATTTCTCATCCTCCCGATCGGTATGGCTCTTATCATATATCTTTTTCTACTCGTATTGTCATCTATTTCGGTGCCATCTTCTTATTCTCAAGCGACTAAACATGAGTGTTGGCAAGAACCAATGAAGATAGAATTTCAAGCTTTAATAGACAATCGGACTTGGGAAGTTGTTCCTTGCCCACCTAAAGTCAAGCCAATTGGATGTAAATGGGTTTACTTTGTGAAGCTTTGCTCGATGGGACTTTGGATAGCTATAAGGCTAGATTGGTGGCTCTTGGTAATCGACAAGAGTATGGCATAGATTACGAGGAAATGTTTGCTTCGAGTGGCCAAAATGACTACGGGACGTATACTTCTTGCTATTGTTGCTTCTAAAGGATGGCCACTTCAACAGATAGATGTAAAAAATGCTTTTCTTTGTGGTGATCTTAAAGAGGATATATACATGAACCCTCCTCCTGGTTTATTTTCGTCTTCTACTTCGAAGTTTGTAAATTGAAACGTTCTTTATATGGTCTCAAACAAGCTCCACGAGCGTGGTTTGAGAAGTTCCACACTACCCCGCTTCAATTTCGGTTTGTACAAAGTCAAAATGACTCCTCATTATTTCTTCGTAAGACTTCCACGGGTATTGTCCTTCTTTTAGTCTATGTCTATGATATTGTTATAACTAGAATAGATGCTTTATTGATTATTCAGCTTCAACAACATCTTCAAGCTTCATTTCACATGAAGGATCTTGGTCAACTTACCTACTTCTGGGATTGGAGGTTCATACTAACTCTTCTAGTATATTCTTACATCGAGCATAAATACACTTAGGATTTGGTTACCTTGGCTAGACTTCAAGATTCTTCATCCGTTGATACTCTTTTAGAAATGAATGTTAAGTATCACACCGACGAAGGAGACTTGCTTTCCGATCCGTTATTGTATCGGCAATTGGTGGGTAGCTTAAACTACTTAACCATTACTAGGCTCGATATCTCCTTTCGCTGTCTAACAAGTCGGTCGGTTTATGTACTCTCCGCGACATTTACATCTAGCCGCTGCTCATCGTATCATTCGTTATCTAAAGGTACTCCTAGCCGTGGTTTATGCTTTCCTGTCGGATCTTCAATGCACCTTGTTGGCTTTAGTGATGCCGATTAGGTCGGTCTGTCTCAATACTCGTCGATCCGTAACTGGTTGGTGCATGTTTCTCGAGAGTTCTTTAATATCATGGAAAAGTAAGAAGCATGATCGTGTTTCGAAATCTTCCATCGAGTCGAATATCGTGCTATGTCCGTCGCATGCTCCGAGATTACTTGGCTTCGAGGACTTTTGGCCGAGCTCGAATTTCCTCAACATGATCCCACTCCTCTCCACGCCGATAACATAAGTGCTATCCAGATTGCTACCAATCCAGTTTATCACGAGTGTACAAAGCATATTGAAGTGGATTGTCATTATATAAGAGAAACGGTTCACACCGGTGTTTTTCTCTTCCACATGTTTCCACCGCCTTGCGGATAGTTGATGTGTTCACTAAATCTCTCACTCGGCAGCGTCACCAATTTCTTATAACAAATTGATGCTTCTTGATCAACCAATATCAATTTGAGGGGGATGTTACCATATCTAAATAGGATTCCGTTCATACTATAACTTATATGTATTTCGGTTATATTGTATAGCTGTAATATTAGATTGTTTCCATAGACAAATTAGCTCGTAAATTATACAGCTGTAATTAGAATATTCTAGGAGAAGAATCAGCCTATAATCTCTCTTTAGATTATACAACTGTAGTCGAGGCAAATCAACCTATTTTCTCTATGTAAATACTTCTATAAATTGAAGAGGAGGGGGACACAGGGGCATTCATCCAAAATTTCTGTCTTAGTTTCTTAATCTTGTCACAGAAATCTCATGAAATTGTATTGCTGCTATCTGTTCAGCTAATTATTACATTGCTATAACATATATATACGAGCCCTCTCTGCTAATTTGCAGCTTTGCTTCTTGGCCGTAGAGGTTAGAGAAGCATCATCATATCCAAACTTAGCTTTAAAATGAAATATGACTCGAAATCCTTTTCTGCTATTTTTGTGTTTCAAGTTACATTAGTTGCTGTAGCATTTTGATCTCTGTAACATGTTCAAATATTGTGAACAATCCGGTAATTCTAGTCAATAATGAGCATTACTGGACTTTTGTTGACCACAGTTGCTCTACTTAGGCTCCCAAACTATTCATTGCTGCTCTAGACTAATTAAATGATAGAACCACATATTGTCTATATTGGCTAATTGTAGCAATTGATTCCCTGTAATGAGAAGGCAGGGTTCCCTGCCTAACTGGCATATTATTATTTCTGAAAAAATATCAACAAAAAAATTCAATTTTACAATAAACAACAGAAATGCATTGAGAGTCAAGAGAACAATAAGGAAAACGAAAAAAAAGTTGAACAAGGAGACGATTTATTGGAGACTTCACGCCCTTGAGTTTTGTAGATATAAAGCCCATTCTACACTGCTGACAAAACTACTTGTCCGTAACAAAACTGAGGCTCCTTGGTGATTCAAATCTCTACTTGCCGGGTCAAAAGCTCCAAGGATACGGCCACAAACAATCTCTCACAATCGGTGTTCAGAAACTGATGCAACTGCAAGCAATAGTAAGGAAATCAATATTGCTGCCACATAAAGCCAATCATAGATATATAAGAATTAAAGGAAAAAGGAAAATGGCAGTTTTAACATATGTGGTCCTTTTGCTACTCAAATAGTATTGTGCATTCGAACAGAAAGGAATTAAAATAGAATTTTCTAAGTAATCGAGCAGAAAAGCACTCGAACTTTCAGGTAGCTTGACGAATTACCAAATCAATACAAAGTATTGTGCATCAACTACCTTATTTCTCTTCTAAAAGTAATGATGTGCAAGAAACAAGGGAGGACAATTCCTCTTCTGTGGCTGATCCAAAACCATGCCATCTTATTCTACCGAATTTGTCAAGCAAGAAAATATACCTGTACATTGACAACAACAAGAAGCATTTTAACTAATTGCCTCTCTGGCTAGCAAAGGCGCAGACAAGAAATGCAAATCTTTCGTACCCAGTGAGAAGGTTCAATATTCTAAGATCCTTTCTGAAGTAATAATGATCACCAAACGAATAAACAATCTGCTTCTGAAGTGAATCATTTCCATCACTGTTGGATTTCCTCAGCATCCGAAGGAGTATTTTCTTGATTGGACTCAAACATAAGAACCACGAGTCTATAAATGACACCTGGAAAATGTGAAATCTTGATTATTAACTCACATATCAAGAAATTAAAATTTTAGCAATGTCAATAACGAGAAACACCTGAAAACCAAAAATCTGTCATCCCCCTAGGCATCAATCTTTTGTTATTAGCTATATTATATCAATCCCAAAGGTCTCAGCATGCTGGATCCAAGATGGGGCATGATCTAGCAGTAGTTTGTTGTTTCACTGCTGAAATTCTTATATTTTCAAGAAACAGAATAAATGCAGCATCATAATGATGACAATTCTTAGATTTACTGTTTTCTTTGCTAATTGAAGCGTGTGCTGAACAATCAATTTGGCTTAGAGCAACTATTCAGGAGGTGACACTTGTATTATCCTTGCGACCATCCCAAAAAAAAAAAAAAAATGATATAATGTTGTCCCACATCTGATGCTCAATCCACCAATGATAAATTATATATATATAAAAGTATATATATATATATATATAGTAATAAATAAAAATTGAAAGAAACTATACTTCAGTACCTCATATAGCTGAACATCTTTTGCATCACGAAATGCTTCAAGGAAAGGCACACTCCAAGAATTAGTCATTGCCTGTCAATGACAAAGAACAATAATCTTTTAGCATCAGCAATAAGCATTAAAACCCTCGTACCCAATAGAATTAACAATTATAATAACAACCTCAACAAGTAATTTGGGGTTGCGATATCATTTAATCTTAAAATTTTGTGCCATGATCCTCATAAAAGCCAAAAGAGAGAATTACTAGGTATGCAGGGGAATCATAATATTTAACAGCCCCTTCCATTATAAACAAAAGTGAAACAATCTAAGTTTTAACAACCTCCTTGGAGAACAGAAGTCAACCATGATGGATTTTATATCGTTCACTTAAGACTTGGTGTATCTCTTCTGTTATAACTTATTCTCTCTGCAATCCTCATAGCTGTTAGAACTTATTCTCTCTGCAATCCTCATTAGGCTTTATGAAATAGTCAGCTTAAAGTTTTGCCATAAGTACAAAGGGGATGGCATTGCCTGCCTCCTAATATTGTCAAGGCACATTATCACGCTGCATATTATTCTAACAGTTGATTGTAAAGTTGAATATTCAGATCTTTCAACTCATAGATATGAATCTCGGGCAAATGAATTGGGATATTCCCAAAACTCACAAAGAAAAAAGGAAAACGAGTTAGACAAAAAAAAGAAAAAAGAAAAAAGAAAAAAGAAGTAACTCGGACAAAAAGAAAGGAAGCGACATAGACAATTCTTTTTTGTCCATAAACTCAAACCAATGAGTTGAATATTGATCGATACACAATCTACCAAACACTGCTTGAGAAAGAAAAACAGCTGAGAAGTGAAATGTTCCAAAGATTCTACGTTCAAGCATACCAACATAAGCTTTTCTGTCAACTAACTATTATCATAAACTGACTATTTGCACGTCCTTTGTTCATACCTACAAATAAAGCAATATATAGATAAAATTCACCCCAGATTAACCCATCAGTAAATGGATGAAGATACTGCACAGATGTATTGCTATGATAGCAGTTAGCCTTAGCCAGATGAAGGAAACACATAAGATACTTCTAACATGGTAAGTACTATAGAACATTGCTTGTGTTCTTGCCCCACTGTAAAGCTCCGAACAAGGATGATCTTACGCAAATTTAGGCTTTATTTAAAAATATCATTAAGTGAGTCAGATGGGATGAAGAAGAAAGATTCTTATGTGGGCCAGGCAAGAAGAAGCAGCTCAATTTTGGGTCCGTAATCAGACTTTGTCCAACTTTATCCAACCTCACTAAAATGACCTCATGTCATTGGTTATTTCACCTTTTTGTTACATAAAAGTAAGCTCCTGTATGCATAATTCAGTTACAAAAAGAACAAAATAAATTTGACCAAAGTCATGGTAACTTGATGTCATGGAAGAAAAAACCTGAAATTTTTGGGTTATAACAGAACTCCTTTTGATATAATGGACTTCAAATTTGAGACATACTTAATGCTTTTTTTTTTTTGTATTCATAAATAGACATGCATGATAGAAAATAGTCATTTCTTTTAATACAAAGAAGGAAGGTTTTAGTAGTAACAGCTGTAAGCTGAATTATACAATGGAGAAAATTCTCAAAGAATGAAAAACCACACAGTTTTTCTCTCTCTCTGCATGCTAAAGAAACTTCTCCAAATGCCTTCACGTAACAGCACAAAAGGTAAAAGATGCAATCCTATCCACAGCCATTGCCTCAGAAGGATAAGATTACTGGAAAATTCTAGACCTCTGCTCCGTCCACAAACACCAAACTCCAGACAACTTCAAAAGGCACATCTACACAAAATCTTGCATTCTTTCCTCGTCCCGAAACCCTCCAGATACAATAAAATGAAAATCTTCCACTCAACTTGGAGAAACTCACAGTTCATCACAAATAGTGAACAACCTGCTTAATATATCTCAATGCACTGCTGGTGTATGAAAGATGCAAAGATAACTCTCTACTATCATAACATATAACTCACATAGCGGAATAGAGGGCTTCAAGAAGTTCAGGTAAATCCTAGCTTATGACAAGTTGCTAGTGTCAATCTCATGAAGCATCGATATCCAAGCAGAGAACATCTTGGTTTTCCAGTTAGAATTGACTAAAAAGAACCAAGTTGATTAAATGAAAAACTTACAAGAGTGTGTAGGATGGGGGAACCTATCTTCTTTGATAGGAGATGCCTAGAGACAAAGCCTAGAAAGACTGTCCAGGAACCCATGTCGACAATAGAAAGGAAAAAGAGGATCCCTTTCCTAATGAGCTGGCATCATAAAAAGAGAGAGCTGCTGGCGAACCCCTATTGTGGAATATCCCTCTAGATTTCACATCCACAGTCAAATTAACCTCAAGAAGAATCTAAAAGAGTTAAATACAGGAATACCATGAGGACCTGACTCATGATGCTTTTGACAAGAATATATACCAGGACACATTACCACCATCCACCCAATAAAATTTAGAAATGGGTGGATCGTACAAAATGGAGAGGCATTAAAAATATCAATTGGTTGGCTGGACAACCAACATCTTTTGAGTGCATGTACAACTATAATATGTGCTACATGTTTTCTTAATAAGAAGAGAGATATTCCACCTTTCTTTATTAGAGTAGAATGGCATATTAAAAGTTCTTGTAAAAAGCTTCATGTTTTAAAGTGGAATATAAATCCAAAAACTACTTGTCACTTCAGATTTAACCATTCTTCATCTCCTCTTTCTGTGCTGACGTTTTTTACTTTTTTATTGCTAATAGTAAACCAATAATCACTTGCATTCAAATGTTTGTTACTAAGATGCTCATCAAAGAATAGAAAGGCAACATGATGATAGATGTATGCTATATGATGGCAATAACAATGATGTGTAGGAAAGAGAAAGAAGTTTCTGAATCACCTTATATTGATCTCAAATTCTATAAATTTGAGTTTTCTTGTAAAGTTAGTCTATTTAGGAATTTCTCTTGGTAATTACTCTCATTACTATTTAGGAGTTATGGTTTATTTGGACAATTAGAATATCAACAAGGAGTTTTTTATTGTTTGTTTTTTTCCTCTTCCTATTTGAATTTCTAGTTTCCATTAGTTCAGAATTATTAGGACTTTTGGTGCCCACAAAAGGAGCACCTTCTCTTTGTAATTTTAACAGGAGTTTGATAGTGGAATTATGAGTGTTTTGGTTTAGTTTGAAGATTGCAGCCTAGACTATTCTTTCTCTTATTTTTAGTTCTTCATTCTTCTTCTTCTCATCCTTCTAAATTTTTCTTGCTACAGTGCCACATCTATATTGACATCCCTTTTGTCTAAACGACTATCTAATCTACTCTAATTCCACGCACAGCAAACCCTAGCTTACTACAATTCCTTTGCAGGAAAGAAATACAAATCTGTCCTAGATCAAATAAGTTAACAAACTCCACCCCATACCTGAGAGCTTGCTCGGAATGAAAGACACATTAAAGTTGCATTAGGAAAAGCTGTTGCATCCGCACCAACCACATTTCCATCAGACCTGATGGGCAGCTTTAAAGAAGTACCATTGGAGTAGTTCACTTCGACATCAGGAAATTTCACTGCTGCTGCTGCAGGAATTATAATCTTATTCGCCACTGCAATCTGCAATTACCAACAATTCAAAGTTTAAACTTGAACAAAATGCCTGTAATCTAGCACAGCAGAATAAAAACCCAATCCAAAATATTCAATTTACATGCTAAGAATTCACATGCTAAGAATTCACATCAACTAACCAACTAAAATGGGGGTTCCCTTAAAAATTCTCGTTTATAAAAAAAAAGAAAAAGAAAAAGAAAAAGAAAGCAATAAAATATTACCTTACCACCATGTTTCTTAAACTCAGAAAGGTCAGCGAAATACCCTCTATTCAATTCATCTGCACTGCCCTAAATCACATCTAACCCTTAATTACTTGCTTAATGAAAAGAAAAAAAATTTAAGTAAAAACATGAAGTACTAACACTACTACTTACAGTCTGGCGCGCTCTTTCTCAATGGCCGCTTTGTTTCCAATCTGGAACAATCAAGATAATGAATACCATTAATGAAAGATTGGTATTATTTGAAATCAAGAAACCGAGAGTGGGAATAGCAGCAGCATACCTGGTAAATGTCAAAAAAGCGAATTTGTGTTTGAGAGAAATGTTGACAAGGAAAAGATGAATCAAATACTATTTGTGTTTGTTGTAGAGATGATAGAAAAGTTGAAGCTCTACTCCAGCTCTTTGCGTGCTTTATTAATCGATTTAGCCTCAACATTTCCTCCTCCTCCTCCTCCTGTTTTCTTGATACTGCTCTCTCTCTTTCTTTTCTCTGTAAATGTAACGACGAAGAAGTTCAGTTGCTTGTTTTTGTCAAACTGGCAGTGTAGCAGTTTGGGTTAGCCCTTGGTCCAATGCCTACTCAACTTCTCTGTTTAATTAGGCCCACTTTGATTTTGGGTGTATTTTCCTTTATTTTTTTTAAAAAAATGCTAAACATCGATGATAATAATAATAATAATAATAAAAACTAAAGAAGATTAAGAGTCATTAAATCACCATATGATCTTAATTTTAGGATCCAGCAAAAGATTATAGACATGAATGACAATAGATCGAGTCGAAGTAGAATTTTAATTTATCTCATATGTTACACAATAACCATTATGTGTATCTAATAAAGTGAAATATATTTTTTTATCCATCATCTGAATTATATTTAAAATGTTATTTTATATGATTTAAAAATATAAAATTATGTCATTAAATATCACTAATAATATGTATGAATTAGTAAATTGTTATTGATTAATACGATTATATATACAAATCATTCAAATCTCTCATATGTTTAGAAAATTATGTATTTGAATTATGTGTAAAAATAATATATTATAAATTATACATATTTGCATGTAAATTTTAAATGAGTCCGTGTTATGGACTAGCGGCCAAGGTTTTGGAAACAAAACTCCTAATAAAGATTTTTATTGTTTTATTGTTTTTTTTTTAATTTATTTTTAAATCGGGAAGCTCGTTAGGCCTTACAATGTAGAACAGAGGGCAGTTTTTTTTTTTTTTTTTCTATTATATAATAATTAAATAAATTAAAATTATAGAAATTTAAACTTATTTTATTAAAATAAATTACAGAATACATAAGTGTTAGACTAAATCCAATTCAATGAAAAAAAGAAATATTTTGAAGACATAAGAGCATTCTCTTCTTTTATAAATAGAATTATGGGAATGTTCCTGTAAATCACAGTAGCAAAGCTAATTTTTTCTTCTCTGTTCGCATTCCATTGTTGTAATAGAATTATGGGAATGATCCTGTAAATCAAATGACTTGATATTATTTTGTGTGGTATTAGATAAGTGTAATTATAGAAAACTGTAAAATAAAAGAAAGGCATATTGCAAGATTTTCTTCTCTGTAGGAAAAAGGGATTTTTGCGACAAACTTTCGTCGGTAAAAGTACATTTGTCATGAAAGAACGTAAAGAAAGGAAACTTTAGAGACGAGTTTTTGTCACAAAAAAGAGAAATTGTGACAAAAGTTTTTCAAAAAAAGAATTTTTTATTAATGAATATTCATCTGAAAAGTTGCTTTTGGTGTGAAATTTTGTCAAAAAACATGACACTAGAGGTATGAAGCCTGCGTAAGTGACGAACTTTTTTGGATGAAAATTCATCGGGAAAAGTTTTCTTGATAAAAAAAGATATTTTTTCCGTCGAAAATAGATACATTTTAAGTAGATGCATGCTATACATTCTTGTAAAGAGAGGATGATGACTGATGGTAGATATTTTAAAAAATTTAGTGGGTAACTGATAGCCTATAAAGAGAAAATGAAAAAAAAAAACAAAAGAATTTGAGAAGGGTAACTATTGTATTCTCATAAATGCATTAATTTGATGAATGGAGTATTGTTTTGTTCCGACCAGAAATCCAGTGATCTGGCTACCTAAGCAGTCAGATTTAATACTAAAAACCAAAATCACAAGAGGTTCGATCAAACCTAGATTGACCCGATCAAACCCTGCCAAAAAACCAGTCAAACTGGCTGGTTGGACTAGCGAGTCAAGCATTAAACCGGTTTTAAAAAAAGATGATTACTTGCAGGGTTTGAACTTAATACCTCTACTTTCTAAAATTATGCACTTACCATATAATTTCTTGTTTATGGTTCGTATGTTGTAGAATGTATTTATATTACAGTACATTCGGCATAGTTGTCCGACCAATGACTCACTGGCTTAACTAGCCATCCAGTAGCTTGACCTAGTCGCTATCCGGGACAGATTTCATTTAATAACATTGTCTCGTTGTGTGAACGCAAGCATGCTGCTGATCTTTGTATAACATTTTGCCTCTGCTCGTATTCTGGAACACTTACAATCTGTTTGATTTGGATCTTTTTCTACAGAAGCAATTTAGGCAACAAAATATTCGGCAAGCGCCAAAGCAATTAAAACAATGAGGGTTCCCGTTAAAGAACTACCGATGATACAGTACCATCCAGTGTAGCAGACGGTTTTCAAAATGGGCTAGCACCTCAATATCAGCATGAACAGTTGTGTGCTAATGAGTGATGACGAATCTATTCATGATAGGATCGAGGTACCTATTTCGTGTGACGACTTGCTTGGAGATGATCTGGAAAATGATGAAGCATGATTTATGAACCCATGGACATTAGGTTAGGCAGCAATTTTGCACCCAGCTACGTTGGGATGTAGAAATATCCTTTAAGACTTGACATGATTTTTTTATAGTTTTGAAAGGAGAGTTTTTTTTTTGAACGTGCAGCTGTCTACCTCTTGAACAAGGAATTGGTTTTGCCCATTATATGGTTACTATGTTTCTTGAATTATTTTGATTGAAACCCTCAACTTTTTTTCACATTGATTTAGTCCCTTTATTGTTTTGTTGTCATCCCTTTGTTATAACACTATTAGTTTGTAAGCTGATGTAATATGTTATGATCTTGAATATGTGATATGTGTCATATTTAAAACTCTAATAGAAACACTCAATTAAAACAATTTAAAGAATATAAGGCTTCGATTAAAATAATTCAAATATTATATAAACCAAATTGTTATTTTTTCTTTTTTAACTTTAATGTTATTGTTATTTTTTAAGACCTCATCTTGAATTCCGTAAAATATATTATATATGGAACCTTATATATCATAATAAAACTACGAAGAGTATTTTTCTAAAAATTATCATTATTATTATTTAAAAATAATAAAATACATATAAAACAAATATAATATGCAATTGAAAAAAAATAGAGTACAAATAAATTCATCAAAGTTAAAATGAAAACAACATTAATGCTGACTGTAGCTAATTATTTATATCAAAAAAGAAAATATAGCGTAGTCTTAGTGTTTTTAGGAAGCAATCTGATTTTTCACTCGAATTTGTCAAATATTCAGAATTTCTTACTTTTTGTGAAGGATTAGACTAATTATCTAAGAATCTATGGCTAATTGATATTGCACATTGTTATATTTTTTGTTTTAATAATTATATGCCAAGTTCGAATTTTTATTTATTATTTTATTATTATCATTAACTTATTATAACAATATTTTATTTTGAAAAAACACTTCAAGTTTTATTGTAATTAAGTCTCACATATGACATATTTTGGGTATTCAAGATGAGATTTCTAAAAAATAATAACATAAAAGTTAAAAAGAAAAAAATTAATCCATGTATTTTTTGAATTGTTTTGATTGAGTCTCTATTGAGGTCTTACTTATGACACGTAATACACATTTAGGAATATAACATACCATGTTAGTTTATAAACTAACAATGTGATGATAGACGGACAACAACGAAACAAAACAAATAGTAAAATGACTTAATCAATACAAAAAAGAATACATGATTTTAATCAAAATAATTAAAAAATTACAAAAATCGTATAATGCACAAAAACCAACATAGGATGTCCTCTCTTTTTTCCTAAAAAAATAAAATAAAAATAAAGTAAAATAAAATAAAATAAAATAATCTTATTGTGATTGATGAATTGTCATTTTCTTTCATTATGTTCAAATATGAGAAGACCATAATTTTAGTGTCCAAACCTTTCATTTTTTTTTCTGTTCAAATGTCTAACGTTTTATTAACCAATTTTTATGATTGACTTCTATTTTTTTTCCTATTTGAATGCATTTCATCATCTCAAATTGTTAAATGCTAACATAATTGATATCAACTGATACACGATCATTTTGTACCAACACATAGCTAAAAATGAATCCCGTTCAAAATTATGAAAAAACTACAATTTGAGTGTCAAAATTTTGATTTTTTTACTTTTCAAGTGCCTAACCTGTTATTTTATTATTTTTGAGTTATTAATGTCTGATTTATTTTGTATCTGAGTTAATGCATTTCGTGTCATGACTCATGAAACTGTTAAATGCTACCGTAACCTATATCTACTCATAGTGGTTGTTTTGTACTGACACGTAATAAAAATTTTGGTTTTACTTGAAAGTATTAAAAAAAACACATATAAAACCTATATAGAAGTTTCATAAAAGAAAAGGGTGGCAGAAATTGAAAGAAAGAAAAGAAGAAAAAAAAAAGTGGAAACAATAAAAAGTTTCAAAAATGATATCAGTATTGCATAATCTCAACATCGTTTTCTAAAGTTCACTGTTTCAAAGATATTTTTCATCACTCATCTATTTTTGTGACAAGCAACTCAAAATATATCATTCCTTCATGCATTGTTTTATGGCATATTCAAATTTTTCAGGTTAACATATAATCCACCAACTTTTGACTAATTATTTTGTACTCGATTTCGAAAGATCTATGAAGACATGTGTAGTCAGATGAGATATGAGATGGTGGCTGGAGACTTGTTGGTCACCGGCTGTGGCATGTTAAAAAGGCGTCTGCTATTGGGGAATAAATCTGAGGTTGTTTTCTTCACTTTCAAGGACGGTGATGGTCACTGCAAACCTTGAAGGAAATTAGAAATTGGAACAACTCTGTTTTGTGATTGTTTTTTCATGGTGGCTGCTGCTCTTGTCGTTGTAATTGTTTGCTGGATAAGAGCTATTACAGTTGTTTTTTTAATTATTTTTTAGACGGATTTCATTATGTATTTTTTACTATTTTGATTTTCAATTTTTTTATTGTATTTATTTATTTGTTATTTTTTTCAATTTCTGCCAATATATATATATATTGGCAGAAATTGAAAAAAAAAACAAATAAATACAATAAAAAAATTGAAAATAAACATTACCATTCCTTAAAATTTAAAGATAAAATCGAAAATGGAAATTAAAAATGCCATGCCTTAAGGTTTAAAGATAAAATCGCAAATTGCTTCCTGGAATTTTCAAGGTATTCAAGGAACTCCATTCCCAAGTTCAAAGGTGCAAACATTTGGCTTGAAAGCAAATTGGCAAAAATATAATTTTGTAATATAAAAAACTAGAGCACAGTCTTATTTTTTAGCTTCAATATGCTCTGTTAGCTTGGTGAAATTTCAATTTTTGTGTGTGTATAGATTAGCATAGTACTCGGCAATCCAACTTTCGACAATCTTGACCTCAATCTTTCTTTGCTTGACTAAAGTATATCCATACAATGAGAACCTGTAAAAATAAATGTAGAAAAGTCAATATAAATAAAAATTCTAATAATTAACGTGAATTTGAAACGTATCCCTCTGTTTGTTGTTTTATTTCCTTTTCTTTTCTTGGGTGGTTTTTTATTGGCCATACTAAGTGAAATGTTGGTTGGTAACACACTTGAACATGCAATTCTTGAATTAAAAGAAACCCCATCATAATTGAATCACTCTAAAAAAAAATTTTTTTTTATTTGATAATATATATATATATATATATATATATATTAAAATTAGTTTTTGTATCAATCAAGACTAAATTTTTCTCTAAATGATGTTAAGAATATATGCATCGTATCACCAACTATTTAAAGTTTTAAGAAATGACTTGAATAAAAAAAAATTGTACGAAATGATCATGTAACTGTTTTTGAATTATTATTTCTGCAGATCTTACTACGTAAATTTATGAAACTCAATTTATACGAGGAGGGAAAATATCACTAAACAATGTATGGACTAGTAAATTCAGACATGTTTGTGGTATTTAAGATTTATTTGGTGTATGTATCCACTGTGTATAATATAATAGTTACGGCAGTCTAAACTATTTTCACATATAGTAATGGGTTTTGGGAAAATACCATTGGCTGTAGTGACAGCAACAAGGCTGTCGGATAAGTCCTCCAATACCCTACAATATTTAGAAAAATCACAGCATCAAATTTTGTTAAGTGCCAACTTTAATAATACATAAATAAACATCCAAACTCTCTTCTTCTTCTTCTTTTGTTTTTAGTATACCCGCCAATGCTGTAAGGATCTTTCAGGCCATTGGAGAATATGATGTTGCTACCAAATGTCTTGAAAATCAACTTGATATCCTGCAATTCGTCATCGGCAATAAAAACACGTTAATTAGAAACTAACAAAATATTTAAATTTAAGGTGCAAACTGATCTAAAAATATTTTTATGGTCAAATAAAATTAAGATAAATATTTGAATATCTTTCGGTAGCTTCAAAATATATAGTTCATGAAGAAGAAGAGTGGAAGAAAAGAGAGAGAAAAGGACGAGAAACATACGTTGCCTCCATAGTAGGTAGGGACCCAATGAGGCCTTGGTGGGACGCCAAAGTCTTTCATGCAGTCCTCAGTTTAGTTATTCATATCAAAATAATCAGTTGGAAACATGTTTCCATTGCCATGATCAATAGGTATCACCATATCACTGCATGACTGAACAGAGAATAGTAATTATTAGTCCCTTTTCTAATTTAGAAGATAAATTTCATTTTCATGCAAATATTCTACGTTCTCTCATTGAGGAATGCATTAATTAATCACCTGCCAACCCCATCCCACACTTGTTTCCGTTTCATTTTCGGCTTCATTAACGAAGCATGGTAAGAATTTTCCAAGAAGAGCATGAGACCAGCATATATTCTGCTTAGAGTATCATTTCCGAAGGAAGCTCCATCAATGCCACCACAGACGGTCTGAATTTGATACCTAGGTGCTCTATTGTACTGAACAGATGAACAATATAAACTGTCCAAGTAGTCCTTTATCTCAAAAGAGTTGTTTAAGGGACTGCATTCCAAGTAGAAAAAACAATTAGAGTAATGATCAATCGCACAGATATAATTTTAAATGTTTTGAAATGTACTGATCATCATCAAAGATTAGTTCATACTTGCAAGTTTTGAATTTCTTGCTTAGAACAGAAAGACCATTTGGCATGGAAGCAACCTTGTCAATTTCGGCCCACGAGTCTTTTATAGTTTGGTAGCATGTCTCACTTTCTTCCTGCATACACCCCCCATTGGACAATACATTTGTGATCAGATCTTGAATATTTTAGAAAGGGAAAAAAATATTAACATGGGCCACGCTAACTAGGATGGAGATTAATAAAATTACTCTAAAATCATTTGTGACAACAGAGTAGTATCCGTTGTGTGGTGTTATATCCTCGAAGTAAAGAATTGGAGCTGATGAAGCTAGGGCTCCGAGGGCAACATGAGGGTATTTTACCCGAAACCATGAAGCTGTTAAAACATCAAACCGAGAAATTGATTTTAAAGGAATAACAAGAAGTGAATTTTCAACACTAAAGGTTAATTTGGAACTAAAAACAAATATATATAGTCACCTACTTCCACCATAGGATCCTCCAAGGACTATGACTGGTGAATTTTCAGCATGGTAATTCTTCTTTATGTACATGAGAATTTCTGCATAATCTGCAATAGCTTGAGCTGAAATGAAATAACCAAGAGTACTTGCATCTTTTAAGACTTCTCCAGAATCGAAAGGGATTGAATTCCCATAGTATCGATGCTGATTGATGAGGAAAAAAATGGCAGTCAGATACTAATTAGAGTGATATTAAAATAAAAAAAATTGCCTTAATTGTTTATTCAAATTTGTTTGTTTCAAATCAGACCTCAATTTACACTAGTAGAGCTTTGAAATGGGGAGCATTTTCAGTGAGGAATCCAATGAAGCTCAGATAAGAATTACCCAGTGCATCTTCAGCACCAAGATAGGCAAAGATTGGTGCACTAGCATTAGCACCACCCCAATACTTAAAATTGATCACATATTTTTGTTGAAAAGTGGTGTAGCTTTCAGGCATGAAGTTGAAGTGGTCAGGAGTTTGGTTGTAATAAAATGTTTTAAAATCTTCTAAACCGGAGGTGGATGCCATTTTATCGGAGCTTTTCGAAAGCCTCGATCCTAGAGGATTGAGCCCCCGTAAATTAAACCTTTCAGCAGACACAGTGCTCTGGAGACATATAAAGCTTAGATGAAGCCATTGCAATAAAAATTGTAGAGAATTCATGGCAATTATGCGCCCTGAAGAGTATTTTTGAGGTTTCACTTGTGATGCAAGGCTTGTAGATGCAAATCTTGTAGTACCAGTCACATTCTTATATATTAAGGATATTGAAAAAGATTATGCACCTCTTCAATATTTTTAATTATAAATCAATATAATCCTGATCAGTATTTGGAGTGCCGGCTTATATACATCAAGTAGCAAAAACATTTCATTTGGTAGATTGTTTATATCTCTACTAATTGTAAGTACTAATAGTGAACAGGTCAAACTAATGCCGGCAAGAAATATGATTGTCTAGTGAAAATTTTAGTTTTCATTAATATATAAAATGAATGGTTAAAAATATTTCTTATCATCGAATAATAAAAAAAATCTTAAATCATTAGTAAATTTGTGGAACGGTTGTCAGTGATAATTTTTCTAACTTCTTTGAGAAATTGAATCAGACATTGAATGATGAGTCAAGCAAATGAATAACTGATTTCTTTTATGACTTCAAGTAATTAAGATTTCAGTACGTAAGATTCGTTTTATCGTTTTTTTAAACCGAATTACTTATAAAAAACATTTTATTTATTTTTTGAATTAAAAAAGAGTAACCAGACTTTGGTTGTTTCGTCTGAAAAGACAGTCCAATAATCAATTAAAAATTAAATATAATTTTGGTTTTGGTTCAGCTTGAAAAATGATGGGCATAGTTTCGATTATTATGAAAACTAATATGAAAATACTCATCCACCTGTTGTTATATATATTAAAAAATATAGTAGACAAAGTCATTGTAATAACAATACTAATATTGATTCATTAAAGACAACCTTATTAAGGAGAAAGTATACACTTCTTGTGTCTCATGGAAATTATTCTTTGTTTTTTTAATTTATATATGTCTCAAAATATTTGTGTGATCAAAATTTTAAATAATGTATTTTCCTAAATACTCCTAATTGATAAAAAAATTAATTCTTTTTTCCATTTATTGTTCTTCACTAATAAAAAACATTAATATTTTTATGCTTTTATTTTATACATAGAAATAACTTTAGCATAAAATTTCAAATAATAATAATAATAATAATAATTGTTACATGAAAGATATTCATTCTTATAGAGATTTTATTGCATGCCAAAATTTTAGGATAAAATATTTTAATTATTATGTCATTTTTTATAATTATTTTAAACTTTATTGTTAATTAATTCAATGATTTTTTTTTTAAATTTTATTACCTTAATTTTGAATAGATTTTCTTCTTAAATTAACATTGGTTATTTTGTGTAAGAAAAGATTAAATTTGATAACTTACAATTTTTAACTAACAATTTTAATAATAAAGTACTTTTTTAAAAGTATGAATGTCAAAACCCATTTTTGACCCTTCGTTTATTTTCATATAAAATTTGAAGAAGGAAAAAAATTAAAAACAAAATTGGTATATTGCATAGTTTGTTTTTCGATGATTTTTAGGTGTTTTTATAAAATTTAGGAACTTAATTTCTTTGAATTATTCTCCTTTTTTAATTAAAAAAAGGAAAAAATTAAAAAAATTAAAAAAATAATTTGAGATCCAATTGAAAATGATGTGAAAATGAAGGAGTAAGTAACATTCAATTAGGAGTGTAATTGGAAAGAGATAAAAAAAAATCAGGAAACTTGATTGATAATTAATTAGTGTGAAATTGAAAAAGATCAAGAAACTAACGATTAAACAATTTCAATTAAGGGGTTAATTGAGAAAGAAATAATAAAATATGCATTGAAATTAAAAGAAATGGATAAAAAAAAAGAAGTAAATTTGATTTTATTCTAAACCCTAAAAAATCTCTATATAAACACACTTTCTTCTCATTTTTTAAGGAGGCTCCATAATTCATTCTACCTACCCTAAAATCCCTAGCCTCTATAACTCATCTTTCTACTTAAGAAAACCTTAGCCTCTATCACGTATCTTCCTATAAAAAAATCTAGCCTTCATTATTCATCTATCACAAAACAATCTAACTACACTTAGCCAAAATATAAAAGGATCACTATTCATCATCTCTCTAAAAAAATGGTATTCACAATTCCATCGTAAGCTAGAAAAAAATCCAAAAGAAGTTGCCACCCAAAAGAGAGAGAGAGAACCAAATAGCCTCTTAAATCACCGGCCAAAACCCATGCTCGTTTTCTCAAACCCATCAACCTTCTCTCTCCAAAAACTACCACTTCACGACCAAGCATTGCTCCGATAACCACAATACACTTGTAGCCCATTCTCAAATTAATCATTTTTGATCAATTGGAGAGGAGGAAGATGTAGGAATACATCAAAAATTGGAGGAGAAACTCGTAAAAGCCAACTCGTTTTTTGACTCGTTAGATTTGGATATAAGTTCTTCTCAAATCGGCCATTTTCTAACCATATCAACGACAACCATTTGCCAATAGCATTCTAGGAGCATTTTAGTCACTATTTAGTGACCATTTGATTTGTTTCTCTTATTTTTTATTACTTTATTACATTATTTTGTGATAATCATTTAATTTTAGATGTGTTAAAAAATATGAAAGCACTACAAAAAATCGACAAATTGATTGCTATATGTCAAACAATTTTAATTCGTCTCTAATATGGTGGTAGCTATTTCCTTAGCGATCAAAATTTTTTTTCGTTGTTATTTTATTGAATTTTCATCACTAAATCGATCTAAAATGGTCATTTGTTTGATCTCATATCCATTGCCATTTTGGTCGCTATTTTCACTTATATCTATCGCTAAATAGCGATGAAATGGGTTGTTAGTAAAATACTCATAATTTTGTTGCTAAATTCGTTGCTATTTAACGACTATATGTGTATCCATTGCTAAATGTCCTTATAATTTTATCACTAAATCTGTCGCTAAACGAATGATTTTTTATTTTTTTTAAAATCAATAGTCGTATATTGTTAATTGTAATGACCAAAGACTATAAATATCACCTTATTCAAATAAGATATATTACTTAATAAATGTAAAATAGTATAAATTGAAATAAGATGAATGTATAAATGCATTAAGATGTATAAAAATATTACAAAAACAAGAAATCTAATCCTTATTAGCATCGTTTTCCGCATCATCTTTCGACCGTTAGGTGTTAAGAATCAGCAGAAGAGATGTTAGTCTATTGGAGGTTCTATAACAACTATAAATATCACCTTATTAAAACAAGATATATTACTTAATAAAATTAAAATAGTATAAATTGAAATAAGATGAATGTATAAATGCATTAAGATGTACAAAAATATTAAAAAAAAAAGAAACCAATCCTTCTTAGCATCATCTTTCGACCGTTGGGTGTTGAGAGGAATGATTGTCTTTTGGGTTATGGAAGGGTCGATAGAAGGGATGTTAGTCTATTGGAGGTTTTGTAACAACCTCATCATTGTCTATAACTAAGATTGTATACTACTAACTTGATCGGCCTACTCGCTAGATGGTAGCCTCCATTACCTTTATCCTATCTTCGTACTAGACAAAAACCTCTTGGATATTACCATCACGATATTGTAAAGTGGCGAGAGGAGGAGCTGGTACTAAAATATGAGTAACACTCGGGATGCATAAGTTCTAATGCCATACATCCTTTACTTCTTCTACCATCCAAAAAAATCCAAATATATCTTGGACATGTCGATATCTAAAGATAATGAATCACCCTCTTATCGCTCCTTAGCATTTGCTTCTTGCATTAATTGCACGTGCTTTTATGTCATTGAAATAATTATAATATTTAATTATAAATATATTATTTATATTGTATATATAGATGTATATATATTTAAAAATATAAAACTTTATCATTATTATCTATAACCGCTTGTCGACGAATGTCTCGTCTTTTCGCTTATGAGTGATCACAAAAAGCTTATAAGGATTTGGGTTACGATCCAATTTATTATGCTAAAGAAGTAAACAAAATAATATGAGATGAAATAAATAAAAAAATTAATTTATAACACAATAGACAATATAGGATTTACCAAATGCATAATGTGTTTAATCAAAGATATGGACCCTTTAGTATGCTTGGATGGGCTAGCACCGACTCCATCCATCTCCGACATATGATTTTGAAACACCTGGTTAGATTGATCTTGATACTCAAGGAGTGGCCCAATCCAAATGTCATACCGACAAAAGTCTCGTTACTCTTATGCTTCTATTTGTTAAGCATGTCATCATACCGCCTTCATGCCAAACTTTCTTATGCTTGCTTAATCAGCACATGGACCACTCGCATCCTATAAAAAATACTTTAACATGAATGAAAAAAATAATATTAGTATTTTTTTATGTTAAATTAACACTTTAAATGAAATATAAGTAAATAATTAATATGTTATCTTAAACTTATTAAAGTAAAAGTCTTCCATCTCTATGGAGACAAACGTTCATGTGTAGTTAGGGAAATCCATTGCTTCTTGAAAATTGGTGTGATTTTTACGGAGAACTTGCTTGATGAAACTAAACTATCGAACAAAACAAATAAATAAAAAAAATAAGAAAATTAATGATTCCAATATAATACATGAAAATATAAAACTAATTATAGCATGTAAAACATATTACTTACCATTTATTCACGATCCAAATGGTCCGTCCATCGTTAGATCGGTAGAGCTTTTTGAAGCTGAAAAAATTACGAGTGGGATCATCCACATCGGGGACATTACCGACGAGGGCATTATTAAAGGGGATGTAGATATGCCAGCACCGGGATCAAGTCCGAGGCCTCGGACACTTTCACCAAGCAGTGTCACATCAACATACATCGTCACTATTAGTCACACGATCAACATCAAAGCCATGGCCACCGACATCGCGATTAGATCTATCCAATTCATGAGGTATAACTCAAGAATAACACCCGAAAAATTTTAACAAATAAATATCAATTCAACCGAAAATATATTATAAATTATTAACAAAAATCTATAAATTTGATATTCCCTTATTACCGATTATTAACAAAAATATATTATAAATATCAATTCACGATCAGACCTTATTATTTTGTTTTTGCATTTTGAATACAAAAAATTATTTAATTAATAATTTTCCAAAATGTTTAATAAAATTTTAGCGATAATCTCCCCGTAAATTGCACTTTTCCCAATTAACAAATACTCCAAATGATCACACAAAAAAAAAAATTAAATCAATCAATAATCAATTTTTGCATATGGAGATTGACAATTGTCTTAGATACTCCATCGAAATTAAATTCAAACTTGTTCTCCTAGCTTCCTTCTAGAGCATTAAATCAACATTATTTCTTCTCAATTTTTGAGATCTCCGACTCTTTAAGTATGATACACTATGATGTATCTCGACACACTTTAATATTTATATACAAAATAATTAAATTAATTAATTCTAATTCTAACCTATTTAAGTTTAGAATAACAAAAAATTAACAAGTTTTAATATAAATAAAATTATAATTCAACCAACAAAACAAAATCAACCTAATTAATTAACTAATTAAATACAAATCAAATTAACTTAATTAATTCTGATTCTAACCAAATTAAATTTAAAATAACAATAAATTAACAAGTTTTAATATAAGTAAAGTAATAATTCAACTAATTAAACACAATTAACCCAATTAACTATTAAATATGGATTAAATTAACTTAATTAATTCTAATTCTTACTAAATCAAATTTAAAGTAATAATAAATTAACAAGTTTTGATATATATAAATTTATGATTCAACAAATTAAGTATAATTAATCTAATTAGTTAATTAAATATAAATCAAATTAACTAATTAATCCTAATTATAACCTAATTAAATTTAAATTAACATTAAATTAACAAGTTTTTAATTACTAAATATAATTTTGAAAATTATTAATTTTTTAATGATTAATTATTTTTGTAATTACTTAACTTCTTTATTTAATCGAAAACTAAATAAACTTAATTTTAATTAGTAAAAATAATTTACAAAAAAATAATTTTTTAATCACTACTTAATTTTGTAATTAATTAACTCCTTTACTAGATCAAAATATATTTTTAATCACAACTAAATAAACTTAATTACTAATTAATTTTTTAATTACTAAATATAAGTGACAAAAAAATTAATTTTTTAATCACTACTTAATTTTGTAATTAATTAATTCCTTTACTTAATCAACAACTAAATAAACTTAATTACTAATTATTTTAATTACTACATAAAATTTCAAAATTAATTAATTTTTTTAATTACTTAACACCTTTACTTAATCAACAACCAAAAATAAACTTAATTACTAATTTATTTTTTAATTACTAAATATAATTTCAAAAATTATTAATTTTTTAATGACTAATTATTTTTTTAATTACTAAAAATTTTAAATATTTCTAATAACTTATTAAATTGTTTCCAAAATAATTAACTTTCCAAAATATCATCAATTAAACTAACTAAATTAATAAATAACATTTAACAATAAACTAACTAAATTAACAATTAAAAATTATCAATTAATAATAACAATTAACAATTAAACTAATAATAGTAACAATTAAATTAACAACAAAAATTAATAAAAATAAAATTTTCTTAACAATAAAATTAAGAATTAAACAGTTAAACTCTCACAATTAAAAAAAATTAATAAGAATTAAATTTTTCTCAACAATTAAGCTAATTAAATTAACTAAATTAATAATTAACAATAAAAATAAAATAAAAAAATTTAAAATTAAACTAAGTAAGTAATTGAAAAAAATTAAAGAATTAATTAAGGGATTAGATGAGGGAGGACCTTTCATCAACATAAGGAGGAGAGTGGGTCGAGTCGGTGGAGGGGCTTCGTCGGACTTTTCCGGTCGAAAATTGATCGGTTGAGGAAGGGGGAGAAAGGAAGAAAGAAAGAGGAAAACGAGGAAGAAAGGGGGAGAGATAGAAGGGACAAAGGGAAGGAGGAGAGAGAGGAGGAGATTGGAAGGAAAATAAAAAGGAGAGGGGGACGATTTGATGGAAATGGAAGGGAGATCGGCTAGAGAAGAAGAATAAGAAGAGAGAGAAGAAATGTTTTTTTTTTGTAAATTTGAAGAATTTTTTTTTTCGTAAATTTCGGGCAAATTGTTATATAGGGGTTGAAAGTTTTAGCGACGATAAAAACAAGTTCCTAAATATCTGAAAAAATTAAAAAATAGCCATTTCCCTCCAGCGGTTTCTTAATTAGCAATAGTTTTTAGACTCGTCGCAAAAAATGGTTGTAGAAAATTTTTTTGTAAAAAAATTAAGATTAGTGATGGTTTTTTTTTTTTTGGAAAAAACCATCGTAAAAAACGATTGGTAATTTGCATGATTTGCGACGGTTTTTTTTTATAAAAACCATCACAAAAAATGGTTGTAGAATTTTTTTTAAAAAAATTGAAATTAGCAATAGTTTTTTTATTTTGAAAAAAACTGTTGTTAATTTCCATGATTTGTGACTTTTTTTTTATAAAAACCATCGGAAAAAATGATTGTAGGAATTTTTTTAAAAAAATTGAAATTAGCAACGGTTTTTTTACAAAAGCTCGTCACAAAAAATGATTGTAGAATTTTTTTTTAAAAAAATTGAAATTAGCGACATTTTTTTTTGGAAAAAACCGTTGCTAATTTCCATGATTTGCAATGGTTTGTTTTACAAAAACCGTCATAAAAAATGGTTGTAGAATATTTTTTAAAAAATTGAAATTAGTGACGGTTTTTTTTGAAAAAAGCGATTGCTAATTTCCGTAATTTGTGATGGTTTTTTTACAAAAACCATCGCAAAAAATGGGTGCAGAAAATTTTTTTAGAAAAAATTGAAATTAGCAACGGTTTTTTCGAAACAAAACCGTCGCTAGTTTTCATGATTTGCGACGTTCTTTTTTTTTTTTACAAAAGCTGTAGCAAAAATGGCTGCATAAATTTTTTGAAAAAAATTGGAATTAGCGATGGTTTTTTTGTGAAAACCCGTTGCGAAAAACCGTCACTAATTCTCCTCGCGAAAATGCTTCAAACCGTCGCAATTTTTGTAAATTAACGATGGTTTTAAGACCGTCGTTAATTTTTTCTCGTAAATCCTTTGTTTTTTTTTTTTTTTTTGTAGTGAAGGACCTCTCTTGTCCTCATTGCTGTCCTGTTCTTTTTATTCTTTTGCTAATATAATGAAAATATTTTCCAAATATTGAAACCCCGGGCTAGTGACCACCTATTGATTAGATTACTTGACCTATAGTTATGCCAAATAACTACATGCATGTTTATTTGAAAATTACCTGACCTAGAAGGTGTGAAATAATAATAATAATAATAATTACACCCATGCATGCAAGGGTCGGAATCTATTGTCTTTCTCTTTGGGTTAATACTTGTAATTTTATTTTCTATTTCATCTTTATTTATTTGTCTTGATCTCATCTCTCCTTGATGTTTAGTTTTTTTTTTAATTATTATTACTACTATTATTATTATGTTATTCTTGTAATATTTTGGACTAACAATATTAAATCTTATCATTAAGCTTATAGGATTGTGACACATGTCAAATAGTTTTTTTTTTTCAAATTGAAATAAATAAATTTTTGAAAAAAAAAGGAAAACAATGCTGGCAAAAAAAAAAAAACCATGAAAAGGGTTTCAATTGTTTTTTATCTAAAAAAAAAAAAGCTAAACAAAAGGTATCATTTTATCTTTAGATTTTTTAGCATGATCCTTCTGTCTTCTTTGGCACTTCCCTGACAAAATTTGATTCAGGTTGACGAATATATATATGTATGTGTGTCTTTTTTTAGTTTTTTATATATATATATATATATTTTTCCAAGATTCATTTATTTTCATTTGATAAAAAATAAAATTATTTGATACGTGTCATGATCCTATAAACTTAATAGTAAGATTTAATAATGTTAGTCCAAAACATTAATAGAAAAATATAATAATGAAAAAACTTAATATATTGAAGGGTGAAAAAAAAAAAAAAACTAGAAAGATTTTTAAAAACAAAATTAAGAATAAAAAAACCCTCAAGCATCAAAATTTTATTATTTATTATTTATTTATCTCTCCGTTGGTGATATCGCCACTCCCCCTGTACTCAACCACACTCCCACTCATCTGTTTTCTATGAAATGACCAGAGTATCCTAAAAAAGAGTTAGACCACTTAGTAGTTTGTTTCTTTTCAACATTTCCACATATTTTACTCATAAGAAATCGATTTATTGCCAGCGGGAACTGTGAGCCATGCCTGTGATATCTACGCTTTTTGTTTTTTTGGTGCCTAGCACCACAACCTCAACTGATCATGCTGTGTCACCTTGCAACTTGAATCGAGACGAGCAAATCATCTCTGTCACCGGTCACCTCCTTTACTTGACTCCTTCTCACTTTTACTTCTCACTAAAACCCACCGACTCATACTCAGATCATCCTTAATCATCTATATTTCCTTTGTTGCCTCTATACCCTTGAATATATATATATATATATATATATAAGTGAGCTCATGTTATTACAGAGAAGTAAATTGGATAACTGAGAAATGCAGTTTTACGATAAAAAAAAACATTGAAAAGAACTATGCGAACAAAATGAGAACTTGAGACTGGTAAAGGGAAAGGCGTAACCAATACCAAGCTTTTTTAATAGAATTTCAGACTTAGAACCCTACGCACAAGATTCCTAACGTAGCATAATGCTAAAAGCAAACGAATTTCTGCAGCATGCAATTAGATCTTTTAGGTAACTTTTTCTTTAAAAATGAACATGTTAATTTGTGAGAAAGAGGATCGGTCGTGATTGAGGTTGAATCCGAAGAGAAATGGAGAGGGAAAGGAGAGGACGGTGAGGGTGCATAGTTTGCTGGCAGGAGTTTGTGAGAAAGGGGATCGGTCGTGATGTGTTGCCGGCGGTGAGAGAGCGGGAGGACAAGAAGAAGAAAAGAAAGAGAAATGGACAAGGTAAGAGAACACACGAAGAAATTTGTTTTCTTTAGAATTGCTCCTTAAGCCATGTGCTCGGATTTTTCAATGGCCCGTGTTTCGGCGCACAGTCTATTTTTATTTCTCCGATCAATCTTATTTCTTTTTCTCTATTTTTCGGCTTGCTCTCATCTTTTTTTTTTTTTTTTTTTTTTTTTTCCGTTATGCTCAATTTTTATTTCTTTTCTCCGCTTAATTAGTCATTTTTTGTTTTAAAATTTAATTATTAAATTTATATATTTTTAAAATTTTTTAACTTAATTTTTTTATTTTAAAAATATAAAAAATAGATAAAAAAAATATGAAAGCATAGATGAAAAGAATAATAGTTTTCAAAGTAAAATAATATTAAATTAAATATGATTTGTACTACTTAAAAAATTAAATAATTAATTCGTTTCTAAAAAATAAAAATAAATAAATTTATAATTTATTCGATTTTTTTATCCCGTACTAAGCAACCATGAAAACTTGGGTTATCCTCCTCAAAGAATTCATCAGCTGTTGCTTTCCTAATAAAATGGAAGTAGTCTTCTCGCCTAGTTAGCTTTTTCTTTTATGAGTAAATTATAAATTAGTCCCTCTCGCTTTAAAAAATAAATTAACTATTTTTTTTAGTTTAAAAAATAATTATTTAATCATTTTTTATTATTTTAAAATTTTTAATTTAAAAAAATAAAAATACAGATAGATTGATAAGAAAAAATATTTATAAAATAAAAGTATTAAATTAATTTGGTCAACATTAGTTAAAAGAATTAAATAATTATTTTTTAAAAATATGAATAATTAATTTATTTATCAAAATGAGAGGGACTAATTTATAATTTACTCTTTCTTTTATCTATCCTTTTGTAAAAAAAGAAAAAGAAAAAGAAAAAAGATTAAAATAAATCAAATATGATGTGAAATTTGGAAGGACATGATCAAACTTATTTCAGATTCAGGCCCCTCTCCATTAGAAGAGTGCACCATGCGCCCTTGCTGAATGATATAAATGGTACTCAAGTTTCACTTTGTTTGACCTATACCAAAAAAAAAAAAAAACTAAAACATGCGGTGACTTTACTGTTCATAGAAGAAGGCGGGAGTCTTATGTAACAATCGAATATGTTCATTGGCACATTAGGCCAAATGCAAAAAGGTGATGTTAAGATTGAGAACAAAGACAAGATCCTTCTGCTTCTGACTTTTCTTTTCCATTTGTTTGAAAATTTGGCGACAATGTTGTTATATGGTAATTATACAGCCAATTTAGACCAAATATATGTTGTACTTTCATGTAATGAGATGTAAAAAAGAGTCAAATCAAGAAAAAAATATATAAATCTGTACTAATAGCCAGAGAAAAATATTGAGAAAAACAAGATTGACTAAAACAGGGTTTTGGAGTGATAGATTTAATTCTAGATACATTATAAATGACATTCAATGTTATATGTGTAAAAAAATTTAATCACGTCATGTAAGATTGACCTCTAAAGAAGAGAATGGTTTATAATAGTAAAAAATTATGGAGATATCTTCACAATCTCCAAAGGTATTAGATTTTACATGTTTATTCCAGTATGGAATATTTTAATGAGTTCTAAAGAAAAGAGATTGATACTGTATCTTTGGGTAGTGTGTTGTCTTGTGATATTATGAGTCTTGAAATGACGAAATTCAAAATATTTGATGCAATAATCCTTGTTTTGGATAGCTTGGCTTATGTCTAAAAAATGTATAAGAATTTAGTATCATTGAGTCAGTTAGACTACAAAAAAATATAATTATTCTATTATATGTACAATTTTGAAAGTCACACATAACACTACAATCGTAATGAAATGAGAAAAGTATGATTGTTTATATTATCTAATTGGAAAGATAATAACCTCAAGGAGTAGTTAAAAATGAAATGCACATGATGGTAGTTATCAAAATGTGTTTCTTTAGTGATTGAAAAAGAGATGAAATTATACATTCTCAAGTTTTGGACGAGTGTGAAGAGAAAGATCCTGTTGAGAGAGGGGACAGATCGATGATCCTCTTTGGAGTGAATATATAAAGTTGATTCAAAGTAGCTACATATAGGCATTAGTCATATTGTTTGAATCAAGTAGAGTTTAGAATTATTTGATAGTTTAGGTCATATATAGCTAGTAAATTTCAAAATCAATGATTATTTATTTTTTTCTGTTTGTAGTATTTGCAAACATGTACAACCAACAAACTTAAGGGTAAAAAAATATCGGCCAAAGCAGATATTTGTTGGGCTTATGACTCGTACTCCTTAGAGTAATGGTTAGGTAAATAAAGTAGAATAATAACGAAGGATTTCTTACCTATAAAAAATTCCTTATACACTAAGGATTTTGGACATTTTATATATATAGATATAGAGAGAGATGATTAGATGTGAGATTTTAAGATGTATAAAATACAAAGTTTAAGAGGTTTTTTTTATAGTATGAAAGTAGGTGTATAAGAAGTTTTGGATAAAAATCAAAATCATATTTTTGTACAATTTTCTCTCATAATAAAAAATTACTCTCGAGTTTGTGAAATGAATTGAATTTTATTGGATCATGTTAAATCTTATATGTTCACTTTCTATTTATCTTAATTTATTCATTTTTGTTATTTTTATTTTTATTTTTTTACCATTAAATTGGATTATTGGTGGTGGTGTGTTGAATTTCGAATCTTTAATTTCTTAAAATAAATTACTAAGTAAATACAATTCACAATTTGAGATTTTGTACGTATCAACTATGCAAGGACATCTTATTTGCCGACAGCATCAATTTGAAAATAAATAAACAATAACCATAGTTATATATATATATATAGAGAGAGAGAGAGTCTAGTACAGCTAAAATAGGATGATATATATTTCTTCATTTAATTGATTCATATACCGTCTCTGACTAGATTCGCCATCTAAAAATATTTTTACAAATCATTTGGTCCATGCACGAAGTGACAAAAGGGACCGGTTTTTGCTCTTGTTTCTCGCAATCATGATGATCCCTCACAATGGCCTTGTGAAAATCATGGATCCATTTGACTCGAAAGAACCAAGAAGGTCCCAAAAAGATGAAAAAATGATGGCCACACTTGCAGAAACATTATGGAATTCCTTCGTAACCCAGGGGACCAACAAAGCTCTGTACATATCAATTGGAGAACATCATTCGACAAACTTCGAAATCCAATCAATATTCGGCAATCCATCACTGCATAATCTTCCTAAAAGTCATTTCACTTTCGGTTTTAAAGTTTATGCTTTCGCATTGAGAAAATCATCATCAAGCTGAAGAATGAACGAAAAGAAAAAAAAAACAAAGAGTGTTTATCTTAGTTTATCTTAGTTGACCCTTTAGTGGGGATGTTGGGTATTGAATATTTGTGTTCTCTAATGGCCTAACAAATTGGGAGTGGTTGCTAATGGGGTGGCATACCGCTCAGCACACCAGATTTTATATTCTTCTTTATCTTCTACTTCCACCTTTGGAATTAGAAATGGAGTAATATTAGCTCGTAGTGTTAGTTCATGCATATGGTAATATGTGATATATATTTAGGTCAAACCGTCCAAACTTTCTCGGAAATTTAAGTTACTTGAAAATCCATCATTTAATCTTTAATTTTGGATTGAATCTTTCTTGAATTATTTTTTATTCAAAATTAGGTTTTTTTTTAAATTAGGTTTTCATTAATTTTAACGTATATATATAATTTCTCAATAATTAAAAATATACCAAAAAGTATAAATGTTTTATTTTACCCTCCAAAACTTATATATAGTGCAATTTTTTAATATTTAGGAAAATAAAAGTTTTGGAGTGAAAAGTAAAATATCCACAAATTTTAACATATTTTTAAGAGAGAAAGGCTTTTTTGGTGTCTGGACTTTCAATTTTTTATTTTTTATTTTTTTGCTATGTTTCTGTTGCCTAACAAGTTGATTTCTCATGGTTGACCATCCAAGTTTTGATTTTTTTGTTTGTTTTGATACCTAAGGTCACCTAAATCCTGATTTTATTGACATGTCGAGCGAGATTTGTCACATGGCGACCAACCCTATCACGTCGGCACATCATACTTTCGGGTATCTATGGACAATCAAATAGGAAAAAAAAAATCAAAGGTTAGGCATTGAAATAAGAAAAAAAAATTAAAGATTGGGCACCAAAATAGAAAAAAATAGCCGGATAATAAAAACATAGTTTTCTCAAAAAATTGATTTTAGTTTTCTCAAACCAAATGTTTATCCTCTTCTTATACTCGATATATCTTTTCTTTATTATAAATAGATTTCATGCATTTTTTGTGCTTCCATAATACATATATATATATATATATATATATATATATATATATATATATATATATATAATCTCTCCAAATTTTCTTTTTGATAAATCATATAATTTTAAATTCAAAAACATTAGCAATTACATGCATGCATATTTTCTTATTATTATGCTAATTGCGAAGAAATTTCAACAATGTATTTACTTTTAACTTAATTCATATTTTACTTATTATCTCTATCATTATTCTCATCGCTACAAAAAATATTACATTTTAAACGCTCAAATAAAAAATCTTGAACACTAAACTTATTTATATCGATTCTATCCAATCTCGACTTACTATAAGAAGTTCAATAAGTTATTGGCTACAACAAAGTTATGTCATCCATGATATGTTGGTCAATTTTCTCCTTAGACGAGAGGAAGTAATTTTTATTTTGTGTAACTTTCTCCATTGACCAACAATTTGTTCCGCAAATGACAATCATAATTGGATTTCATATATCTTTTAATTTTTTATTTTTCTAAATTTAATCTTAATTGGACCTTATATATATTTGGATTAAATGACAT